CCCCTCCCCTCCCCATCTGGTCACCCAGGCTCTCTGCAGCTCTGCACTGGGCCATGCCCCAGGCCTGTTCAAGGCCAGGAGCCACATGGACCTCTGCAGAGGGAAAGATGGCGCGTCCGACTTAGCTTCTTCAGATGTCCAAAGCCTCCCTGTGGAGCCCCTTTCAGGCCTCCTGCTCTCCTATGCCAGGCCTTTTCCTTTCTCACCTGCCCTGTCCCCTCCTTTTTGCAGCCAGTGAGAATGAGGACTGCTCGGCACTAACCAATGAGATCATCGTCACCATGCACACCTTCCAGGATGTGAGTTGGAGCTGAGTGCAGAGGAAGGGGAGGGCCTGGGAGGAGTGCTGGGCAAAGTGGGAGGGGGTCTGTGCCCAGTAGGCACGGCCCTGATCACATAATCAGGCAGGTGAAGATGGCACCTGGCCTCCAAGTTACCCTCCACCCGACTCCCTCGTCTGTTCATGGATGGATCCAGTAGGAGAGTAAAAGAACCCAGGGAACCTTCTCTCAACCCAGGGAAACTTGGGCATCAGAGAGAGGTGGCTTCTTTCTAGGCTGATTGTCTCCATCTGAGAGATGATATCTATCCCTAGTGTGGAGAGTGACCAGGAAGGGGGTCTTCGGTGGGTGGGATGGGAGTGAGGCGTCCCACTCTCTCAAAGGAAGATATGAAGAAATCAGGGCTGAGAGTCTTTGGGGAATCAGGGTGGCATCTTAGTGGAGAGCAGGCAGATACCCCTCGAGGTATCAAGTGGGGAGGAAGAACCAGGGAAAGGAGGAGTGGAGGGAAGGGGTCATGTATGCCATGTATTTCTATTTTTGGATGACCACCCCCCTGTCCCAGGACCCCGCCTAGGACTTCTCCTGGTGCCTTAGGATGCACTCTGTTTGGTCTTCATGTCCCAGGCCCTAAAGAGCTCAGCAAACTTAAGGCTGAAGGTTCTGGGGTTAGGGAAGCAGAGGGTGGGGTCCTGGGTGGGGAGGGCTGCATCTCCTGGTAACGTGGCTCTGAGTGACAGGCTGAAGGACTGTATGAGAAATGGAGGTAGGTCCCCCAGCTCCTTGATCCCTAAGTGTGTTTCCGGCCCCTCTGTTGGCACAGGGCTTGGAGACCAAGTACATGGAAATCCTCAGATTCCAGGCATCAGAGGAGGAGGCCTGGGCGGCACCACCCCCTGTCTCCCAGGCTCCCCCATGCAACAGGTGAGGTGGGGGTTGCTTGGGCTGCTGCCTGGGGTGTCTTTGGGATTCCCACTCCAGTACCTATAGGCAAATACAGCATTTGGGAGGGGTGTAGAACCAGACTGGGTGCCTTTGATCTTCCCCTCTGAGAACACCCCCCCC